TGTAACAGTAGAAAAATGGGCAAAAGAATTGAAAAGGCACCTTATAAAATAGAACATCCAAATGGCCAATAAGCATATGAAATGATGCTCAATTTTATCAGTTATTGAGGAAATAAAACTTAAAGCCATGGTGCAATGTAGTTTGACACCTGCGAGAATGGCTAAAATGTAAAAGAAAAAGTCAAGTGTTGGTGAGGAGTGGAACACATACAAGCAGAATTTGTAGACTTAACTGGTGTTGGGATTGTAAATTGATAGAACTGCTCTTGAAGTCATTTGTCAGTGGTATTACTAAGGGGAACATAACATACCCTGTGACCCAGTAATTCCTTTCCCAGATATTCCACTCCCTAAATTGCTTACATATGTTCATCATAAGACTTGTATCATTACTTTTAATAGTTAAAAACGAGAAACAACTCAAACATCCTTCAGCATTAGAATAGATAAATATATTGTGACATTCTAGCATAATGGAATTTTGTTGCTATTTCGCAACAAAAGTGAACAAACTAAATAAACGACAACATGGATGGCTCACATAAAATTGAAAATTGATATAAATGATTTATTGTTATGAAATTTAAAAATTAATCTAGTTTTTAGAATTCAGGATAGTGTTGATATGCCCTTCTGGGAATATCTAGTGACTGGAAAAGAACACCAGGAAAGCTTTTGGGATGCTGATAATGTTTTGTTTCTTCATCTAGGTACTGGTTACATGAGTGTGTTCAAAAATTCATTGAGCCGTATGCTTACGATGTACTTCAAGGATGTCCTTAGCAGCGTTATTTATAATAGTGGATAATGGAAACTAATTTCAACATTAGGGGACTGGTTAAATTAAATAGGTATATACTTTCTATGGAATATTATGTAATCATTTTATATGATGTTAATCTTTTTATTGCCATAGAATGTTCAAGATACTTTTTCAAAAGCAGCTTATAGTGCATATACACAATGGCCTATTTTTTTAAAGGAGGGGAGAAGCTTACATATATATTTTTAGACGGAAAATATGGAATGATAAACTTAAATACTTTAGTGATAGGATTTTGGGCAGTTGTATTTTTTTTAATGTCCTTTTTTCTTCGATGATTATGTATTATGTATGATTAAAAAATAAAATGGTATAAATAGAAAAATAGAGGGACTATTAGAATGAAATAATTCTAGAAATTATAGAAATTCCTGTATTCAGGGGAAGAATAAGAAGATATTAATAATAGGATCATTAGGTTAGGGTTAGAGAAGTAATACCTGCAGAGAATATTTGAATTAGGTATTTTTTCATGTGACTTGAGTCTAAGAGCCTTACAACTGTGAGCTATTTTAAATTCTCAACATTCAGTATGAGGACTGATCTTTAATGGCCCTTTATGCTTTATCTTTATTTCGAATTCATGGGAAAATAGATCTATAACAGCATTCGTGCCAATAAATTTAAATTTCAGTCTAGAGATACTTATTGAGAGTTTAACCCACTTGAAATTATACGATTTACTAAACTCTTCTTTAATTCATACACTTTGTTACCTGAGAATAAAAAGTGACTTTTTACCTGTAGTAAAAACTATTTTATGCTTTAACTTTTAGTTCTAAAAATGAAATTGATTATGTGAAGTCTTGTGATACAGACTTAGAGTCTACTGGTTGCAACTCAAAATTAGCTTATTTAATAGTTTTATATATGCCTAATTTCTTAACAGATATTGAATGTGAATCGCTCATTTAAATGTTAAACATAGCTTTTTGAGGTCAAAAGTATTCAACTCAGCAGAATTTTGATAGTTAAAAAAAAATTTAATAATTTTTCAGTTCAAACCCTGGGCTTTTGGTTTTTGAATCCGTGGTGGTAATAGTTAATGTACACTTGACTTCTCCCAATTTTAAAACAAGGGGGGGGTAGTACCTAAGTGTTTGGGTTATTGGGATAAACACACTTAAAATGAATGACCCACAGTAAATAATAAGTTAATTTTCTTCTGTTTTTTAATAAAATATTTAGGTTTATTTTTGTGCGAATTTATCCTTTAAAGAACTTTGGCAGTATTTTCGATAGTCGAAATAATGTGTATGAAACTTTCTTTTTGATGTTGTTGTTTGTTTGTGTTAATTTTTAGAAGAAACCAAAGACACAGACGTTCCCACAGCGCCTCAGAATAGCCAGTTAACCTGGAAGCAAGGCAGACAGCTATTAAGACAGTGAGTAATGGTTTATTTTGAGCTTTAAGGATCTAGATGTAATGTGCTTATATTCAGTCACTTTGCAAGTGAAAAATTATTTAATGATAGTGGGATAATGTGTATAGTTTTCATGTTGCTTTTTTTTATGCTTTGTTAGATGCTTCAATTTTTTTAAAGTTTGTTTCCTCTGAATGTTGATCTGAACATTCCTCAGGCTGATGTTTTTTTATTTGTGGGGTAGAATGTTCTAAAGACTGCATTCTTTGAAGGCCAGAACAAAAGCAATATAGAGTTCATACTGTAGACACTCCCATGCCCATCACTGCAAAATTCACGTATTTGGTTTTACGTGAAAGTGTGACTGGTTTAAAGAAGGAATTTAACTGGTTATCTGAAACTTCAGAAATGGCTTGCCAAATCCTACCTTTAATTTTTGAGGCACCTTTTTGGTGTTTGAAATCTTTGTTGTACTGTGGCAAATCTTATTTATTGTCTTTTATCTATTCTCCTTTATGTTTTGAAAACTGGTACTTCTGTGCTCCTGATGTCCTGGGTAATTTACAGTTACCCAACTTTCTCAACTCTAGACATTTCTACCTTCATTTCAGTAAACCCAGAGAAGTGTGGTCAGCCCCTTGATCTTGTTGTTACGTAGAACTACCCTAGCTCTGGAATATTCCATGATCCAACAGTCATCTTATATTCCACCTCTCAAGTCAATCCCCATGTGTTTGTCCTCTCACTTTACCTTGATATTTAGTTGCATAGTATTTCTCTCAGATATGCCTGATCCCATTGCTTGGATTTATATTGTCTCTTCTCACCTTTCTCTAAGAATAGTTTATTTCCATAGTCGTCTTTATGCATTTCTTACCTGTCTAGTCTGTTTTCCATTTTGATGTTCCCTTGAAACTGCTGTCACAAATATATTTAAAAGACCTTTTTTGTTCAATCTTGATCTTTTGCAAATGTGGGACACTAACTATTTTATTCCATTTTGAAACTCTTTACTTCTGTGATACCACTCTCTGCTATCATTTGCCCCTCTAATTTCTCAAGTTCCTTCTTTTAATTTCCTATGTTTTCCCTTATTCTTAGCCAACTAAATGTTTGTATACCCAGACTTTCTGTTCTTATTAAGCTTTTTTTTCTGGATAACTTCATTTAAATCTGTGGCTTCAAATACCATCAAACATTAATGACTCCCAAATCTGTATACCCAGTCAAATCTCTTCTGAGCTTTTGACCTTTCTTATTGTTGTGTCTAATAAACATTGACACTTTCATAGACACTGCATGATTATCCGATAGGTACCCGAGAAACCAGATGCTAACCCTTCATTCTTCATTTCATTGAATAGAACTACTATCCAACTATCCAAGCTAGAAACCTGAAATAGTTCCAAAATTCTTATGTCTTCTTTCATTCTACTGCCATATTTATTAGTGTACCAAGTTACTAAGATTATATTTTGCTTATTTTTCTCATGTTTACTTTCCTCTTCTTCAGTTTTACTTCTTGCTGTGTTAGTGCTCTAACCAGTCTTCCCATCTTTATTTTTCACCTTAAAATCTTTTGTTCTTTTTGATAGCTACTTTTTAGTACCATTCCTTAGCTTATGAAATACTTTAGGAAGAACTTTTTAAATTTGTTATGCAAAGCCATTCATGAACCATATATATTTATGTCAGAATTGGGTCCTTTTCATCTTTTTCAGTCTCATCCTAGATCCCAAATTAAGTACTCTGGTTCAGATATACAGAAAATTTGAAGATCGTGGGATTATAGGAATGCCATGATATCTTAGATCTTAGAAGGAGAACTGTCAGTCTACCTCTGGCTAAGAACCTAGGTTTAAACTTAGCATATCAAATACATACATACATACATACCTGCCTACTTACCTACCTACCTACCTACCTACTTACCTATCTACCTATTAACTTAGCATGACACTCTTCTGAGGTTTAGTTCTACTCATTCTCTACCACCTTCTGGACTTTGAAAAATATATATATGTCATCAACTCAAGAGCCTCTTAAGGGTCTAGGGCTTTTTAGGTTTACCATAATTGGTCCTTAATTAGTGTTGACCATACTATACCCTTTCTTAATTTTGGTTTGTGATTGGCCTTGTTCTCTTAAAACTGGAACTAGTCTATAGAGAAGACAGTTATAGAGGCAAAAGAAGAGTATATTTTATAGGATTATGGGTTTTTCTAAAATCTGTTGATATAATTTTGGATTAACAAGTTTGCAGGTGTTAACAATGTGTAAGGTTTAATATTTTTAATTTTCTCTTACAGATATCTTCAAGAAGTAGGTTACACAGATACAATATTAGATGTACGGTCTCAGCGGGTAAGGTCATTACTTGGATTATCCAATTCTGAACCAAATGGATCAGTAGAAACAAAGAATTTAGAACAGATCCTGAATGGAGGTGAATCTCCTAAGCAAAAAGGACAAGAAATTAAAAGGTACGATCTATAAGTGTAGATTAACGCTGTTTATATAATGGGTATTATGAATCTCTTTAGCTTCTTGTTACTACCATTGACGGTTTTTAAGGCAGGTAGAGTTTAGATTTACAGACTTCTGCACCTCCCCTTAATAGTACCATGGGCAAATAAATTTTTTATTTAACTGTTTTTAAAATTTATCTTAAGTTTTGATGCCAGGAAAATGACTGTAGTTTTGAAATAGGTGCAAAATTAAAATCTGAAGGTGATTTCATGTAATTCAGAGCTATTTTAACATCCTGGTTTTTAAATTTTTGCTAGAGTATTTTCAGTAAATTATAATGCTAGTCTATAACCAGAGTAGCAGTGCTTATTTAGACACTAGTGCAAAAGGAACAAGGCTTTCCATTGAGCTCACTCAGAAGCTACCAGATATTTCTTTTTTTATTTAATGTCTCAATTGAGGTATAAATTAAATATCACAAATTTCACCCATTTAAAGTAAATGGTTTAATGGTTTTTAGAATATTCACAGAGTTGTTCGGCCATCACCACAATCTAAGTTTTGAAAATTTTCATTGCCCTAAAAAGAAATCCCCTTTTCATTAGCTACCACTCCCCATTCTTCCCTATACTCCTCCTACCACCCAACACAATCAACTTTACTAATCTCTCTGTCTCTATAGATTTGTCTGTTCTGGATGTTTCACATAAATGGTTATTTTGTGAGTGGCTTCTTTCACTTAGCATAATATTATAAAGGTTCATCCATGTTATAGCATGTGTCAGCAATTTATTTCTTTTTATTGCCAAATAATCTGCACTTTGAATATACAACATTTTGTTTATACATTCCTTGCATAAATGTAGGTTGGTTCTACATTTTAGAATAATGCTACTTTGAACATAGTATACAAGTGTGGACATGTTTTCAGTTTTGGGGGGTATTATATACTTAGGAATTACTGACTGAATTACCTTTTTGAGGAGTTTCCAAACTCATTTCCCAAGTGGCTGGATTATTTTTCATTCTCACCAGAAATTTATGAGTTCTGATTACATCCTTGTCAATTCTTGTTGTTTGCTGTCTACCAGATACACTTTTGGTTAATACAGACTTATTAAATGCAAGCAATCAAGCAGATGGAATTCCCCCCCGCCCTTTTTTTTTAACCATTATATATTATGTTGAATAACATAGGTTGGAAGGACAAAGAAAAGAAAAAAGATTGGGGAAAAAAATAGAATGAGTTCATTTCAGTTCTTGTAGAGCTTAAATTAATAATATAGTATATTTGAAACTTACTGGATTTCATTAACCAATGTCACCATAATAAAAAAAATAAAATAAAAAGTAAAATATATGTGATGAGCATTGTTATATTTATAAGTGTAAGTTATTTATAATAAAGTACTTTTCTCTTTCCTAAATAAATAAATAAATAAATAAATTGGTCCCCGCCCCCAAAAGAATAATATGTACATTATGCAGTTATTTAAAACATGTTCTGCAACTTTCAAGTTAACAAACATGAGCCTTTTGTTTAAGCTTTTTATTTCTGAGAAATGAGATCTCTTTAATAAAAACAATTTGGCATCTAATAGAGCCCTTATTTTCTTTGAATTTCAAGGAGCATAGAATGTTTTTGTAGCATAAAAGAAAAAGCAAAAAGTATGTATTTTTAATTAAACTTCATTGAACATAATGTATTTATCTGTATTGTAGCATATGACAAGATTTTCATCTTTTTTATGAATGAGTAATATTCTGGTTTGTGTAGATATGTGTGTAATACACACACACACAGACCACATTTCATTCATTTGTCCACAGACATTTACATAATAGTAGTTTTTAATCAAGGTTGATCTCCTTCTTAATGAGTATGCTTAAATATTCTGAGTCCGCACTAATGGACGTGTGTATGGTTCATTTATTATCAGAGTATTCGAAAGCCCCTAGGAATAAGAAATGATCTAACATGTTGATAGAGATTTCAGCAAAAAGATGCTTATCACATTCTTATTTTTAACAGTAAAAATTCAAAAGCAGCCTTAATATTAAACAGTAGAGGAATGGTAAATTTTAGATCATATTATTAGAGGCAGTGTGCTTAATGGTTTAGAATGTGAATTCTGAAGACAGACTGGGTTTTTGAATTCTGATTTCACCACTTACTAGCTGTGACTTTGGGCAAGGTACTTTACCTTCTTTTGCCTCGGTTTCCTTATTTGTAAAATGGTGATCATAGGGTTGATGTGAAGAAGAAATGAATTAATATGTAAAGCATTTAGAACAATGTTTGGCACATAGTGTCAGTTATGATAAAATATTGTGTATCCACTTGAGATGTGACCCCACCAAGAATAATGTTTACTAGATTCTCCTGAGTGAATATCACTATTGAATTTCTTGGTTTATTTTAGGGGGATATATGATGCATAGTGCATCATATCACAAAACATCCACTTTATGAAGATTCCTTGGGGGAGGAAGTCCTCTTAGATCTTGTAACTGGGAAAGCTATCTTGCTTCCTAGTCATTGGTCTAATTTACCTTTGAACCTCCATTTGCTCCCTTTTTCTTTTTACTCTGGAATCTTGCCAGATTTGTGGGAAAAATGCAGTAATTCTTTTAGAAAATGCAGTAATTCTTTTAGCCTTTTACTTGACAACCTTACCCTTGGCTTCATTTTCTTTTCCCTTCATATGGATATATTACTTTTTAAAAATTCTGTTGATTGCCTTTTTAGAATGACAGAGGATAGTAAATAAATAGTTGACAAAGAAAAAAAATATACCATAGATGGAGACTTCCACTTAAGTATGGTGGATTAAAGGCACCTCAACTAAAATGACAAAGACTTTTTAAGATTAATTAACACATAAGGATAAAAAACTGATTATGTAGAAAGAATGAGGCTACTGTCCATCACATAGGGAGAATTTAACAGTTTTGGAAGCTGGAAAGAAAATGGAGGAATGTCAACTGAGCTTAAATCTAAATGCATTCAGGAGCAAGAGGAAGAAGAAAAGGAACAAGACAATTCAAGTCCCATCATGCCAGTAGAACTCCAAAGGCTAAAGAATTAGAGGTATCAGGTATATCTGGAGTCAGGTTTAGAGGGGGGTATGAATAGAGAATTGCGTTAAAGTTTATGTAAGAGACAGTTAGAATCTGAAACCCCCTCTTTTATCCTGTGCAGCCAGTTGACATCCCTTCCCTATTCCAAAGACTGGTGGTATATTTTCTGGGGAAGTTGAACTAATGATTTTTTAAGAAATCAAGCAACTGCAGGGCCAGTTACTGTACTGAAAACAGGATCATCTGAAAATCTACAGCTGAGCAGTGAGATCCTGTTTTCTTCTGCTGTTTGGTTTGTAACATATTGGCAGCTAGTCTTAGATCTGTTCCAGACAAGATATTGAAATTGATCACATTAATAAAAGAGACCTAATGAAACTGATAATTGGGATCTGCCAGTGAAATGGTTAAGGCCTCTGTCCTATCATGCAGAAGTGAATCCAGCTGCTTGACAAGACTCATTGATGTACACAATACATCCAGTTATCTTTTCAGTGCCTCACACCTAAGGAAAGACTTTTATATGAAAATTGGAAATTAAAGAAACCAAACAGAAAAAGAACTTAGAAAACAGGAAACAGAAGACTTCCAAAACTATATTTAATCTTCTGAGAGAACTGAGAGAAGATAATACATCTACAAAACAAATGGAATGTTATTTTAAAAGGTCTTATCAGAGATCAAAAAAGAGCTAATAAAAATTAAAAAGTGTGATGAAATAATTGTTACGTAAAACTTGGAAGATAAGGTTGAAATGGCTCTCCCAGAAGAGGGAAAAGAAACAGGACTGAAAAGCTAGGAAAATTCAAAGATTAGTTCAGGAGAGCCAGCATCTAACTAGGTGTTTCAGAAAAAAACAGGTAATAAAATGGCCTTGGAAAGATTATTAAAGTAGTAATAAAAGATAATTCCCGGGATATATTTACAGAATGTATTTCTAAGGATTTTTTCCCAGATTGAAAGGATTCCCCCCAGGTACACTATAAAATTAATTTTAAAGATATCTGTACAGAGACCATCATCATGAATGCTAAAAAGAAATAGCATGTTAGCATGCAAGTAAAGTCTCGGGCCCTTCACAGTCCATAGTTGCTTTAATTTTCATTTTCCTAAAGACTGATGATGTCGAGTGTTTATGCCATCCATAAATCTTTTGATGCAGTGTATATTTGAATAATTTTTCCATTTTTTTTTTATTGTTTCATTTGTTATGGTTGAGATTTAAGTGTTCTTTGTATATACTGGGCACAAGTCCTTCATCAAATACGTGACTTGCAAGTATTTTCTCTCAATCTGTGGGCTTCTCTTTAAATTCTCTAACAGTGTCTTTCAAAGAGCAAGTTTTTAATTTGGGGAAATCTGATTCATCAATTCTGTCCTTTATAGATTGTGCTCTATTTGACTTTTAAAGCCATGCACATGTATTGCTGTCATTAAATACAGTTTTAAGTACTGTTTTAAAATAGGAACCAGAAAGAAATATCAGAAATAACCATTGGAATATATGGATTTATCTGTTTCCCCTCTTACAGGCCTTCTGGTGATGTTCTTGAGACATTCAATTTCTTAGAAAATGCTGATGACAGTGATGAAGAAGAGGAAAATGACATGATTGAAGGCATCCCAGAAGGAAAAGACAAACATCGGATGAATAAACACAAAGTAGGAACTTGATTTTCTATTCTTATTAGCTAAAATGTATATACTCATGTATTTTGAATAGAAATTTTCGTGATATCTTTAGTTATATTGGGAGTGATCCTTTCTTTTATGTCACTGAAAGTTTTATATATCAGATCTTATGGAGTTATCCTTATATCATAGAAATTAATATTTGGTGTATCAGTCACTAAATCACGAAAAAGTTTGTTTTTATAGTCTAGTGGTTTGAACCTTCATTTTTTTAAAAGCAGCACCCTCTCCACTCCTGCCACAATTAAACACTGTTGTAGTCTTTCTTTTCATGTACAGTAAGCAGGTGATAAATTAACTGAAGCTTCATTGGGAATACTTCCACCCTAGTTGAAGGAGTAAACTATGGATTATAAATGTACGTGTCAACATTCTTCTTTGATAAGGATTAATAATTTACTTTTGATCATAACCTAAGAAATAGGTTTATCTATTTTAGTGATAGTGTGGATTAGCTATAAGAGCAAAGAAGTAGATTAGGTGATCTATTTGTGAATTACCATAATATAGTATTTCAAGTATGTAAAAAAACAAAACAAAACAGGTTCATTTTTGGTTCTTTGGGATGTCGTAGTGATGTGGGGAAAATGCCAGTGTTCCTCAAAAGCTTCCGGTCTATAAAAGCGGTTTTTAACCATTTTGCCACATTTCATATGTGTAATGTACTCAGTATGTGTAACATGGATGAATAGACATTTTACTCCTTTCCTTTTTTATTTGGTTCTGGGAGGTAAAGCCCTGTTACTGCTACCACAGCTATTAGCCTGCATTAGTTAATATCCTTTTCTGTGCCGTATTCCTATAAGTTACAGACTACATTTGCAGTTCAAAGTGTGAGTGAGGTCAGTTCAGCACAACATATCAGAATGTAAGTGAATGGGTCTTTAAAAGGGTAACTGAATATATTATAATTGACGAAATTAACTATTCTTGGTGATTAGAGTTTTAATCCTTCTTACTACACCACATTACTTGCATCACATCTTCCAATGGTCTTCACATAGCACTGTTGAAAACATTTTATCTAGGGTATAATTTAGGATTGGAGAGTTACAGGGAAAATATAAAATTTTGTACTTAAGTAATTTAAAAATGGAAGTGCAAATGTAAAGATAATTGTGTGAAAACATAAAGGACTCCTTTAAAATTTATGATAAAAGTAATTCTGGGCTTATGTTACATTTGCAGATAGGTAATGAAGGTTTAGCTGCTGACCTAACTGATGATCCTGATACTGAGGAAGCACTGAAAGAATTTGATTTTTTAGTAACCGCTGAAGATGGTGAAGGAGCTGGAGAAGCACGGAGTTCAGGGGATGGCACAGAATGGGGTAAGGTGATAAAGAATTTTGGGGGTGGGGAAACTGCTAGCCCTTATAGATGTATTATTATTAAATAGTGTATGTGGAATGTATGTATCTGAATGAATGTACACAAATGATAGCAGCTAAACTGAGAGCAAGAGGAAGCGGTATTGAATAATTTCAGGGTGTTTTGTGCGGGTTTATTTAGATTGGGTGACTAAACTTTCATATATGGCTTTTGGTGGATTTCGATTTTTGAAATTTAACATTTAATCACGTTAGAAATTCAATTCTTTTTCTCAGCCGATTAAAAAAATGAGCGTGTATAGTTTTTACAATTCTCATTATTTAATTTGGTAATGAATCTAGGTTTCAAGAAGAATTAACTCTTTCAGTATACCTGTTAGGTGTTATCTGACTTACTGCTAGGAAGTAATAAAGCTGATAATCCTGAATTGTAGCTCTCTGTTGAACAAGATTTAGTGAAGGTATTAAACTTTATTATATATAATCAGTGTGTAATGTTAAGGCCTAGCCTTTGGAAGTGATATGTAATACTAATAATAATCCAGCCATAACTTAAAGGGAGAAAACCCAGTTCGGTTTATAGAGGGTTAAAAACCTCATTAGAAAGTAAAATAAAAGTGTAAAAATTATTTTAACATAATAGCTGAGGTCCAGTATGTTGTTCCTGTTAAAGGTTCATTCAATCATCTTTTAATACCAGGATGTTATCTGGTAGGTAGATCTCAAATTGTGTTTACAGAGCTTTATTAGAGAAGGTTACTCAGTACCTTAACATATTTCACATGAACACCAGCTTTGCTTAGTTACTAGGAATTATCACTGGATTTTTAAGTACTATTTTGGTGATAGGAAATGTCACCAAACCGAATATTGCTAATAGGAGGGATAAAACCTAATAGATAATATATTTATTGACTATCCTGATACATACTGAGTACTTAAAAGATCTGAATTTTGTTACTAGGTTTCTCATTGTTTATAATTATAAGCATTGTTTCAGACCTTCACTTCTCTCCTAAGTGAAAAGAGAAGAGGTATGTTAATTGAAAATTTGTAAAAACTCTACCGTTACTTTCTAGACTCTGAATATACATTTTTGTACTTAGTTAAAAATGGCTATATTCTAGAATTTTATTCTTAAGAATTAGCCTTGCTCGGGAGAAACAGTAAAAGCATCTAAGTTTTCTTTTAGCTTCTCTGTGCAACCCGTTAAATGTTGGAAATACCTTAATTTTTTTCCCAGTAATTTTTAAACTACCATTTATGTTTTTCTGGATTATTTTATAATTGTATAGATATATTTAAATCATATATATAATTTTCTAATTCATGTATGTTTTAGGAAGTTTAGAACCCACTCTGTGTGTGAAGAAGAAAATTAAATCAGTATAATGCTACTATGTAGAGAGAACCATGATTTTAACATTTATATAGAAATATATGTATATGTAACAAAGGGTTTTTGATGTGTGCTGATTTATTGCCCACACCTTCTACTTAACGTAATATTTTTTGCAACATCATCTTTTAAATAGCTGCATAATATTCTATCAGTATGTTCCTTTATTTATTTAACCAAGGCTCTGCTGATGTACATTTACATTATTTTCATTAAAAAAAAAGATCAAAAGCAATTTTTGAACATTTGTTAGCTAAATCTTAACACATATCCATTCCTATTTCCTTTGCCTAAAATGGCTGAAAGTTTAACTCTCAGTCAAAAGCATATACAAAAATTAACAGTAATTTAATTTGTAAAATATGGCATTATATCTTTAATAAAAGTACCATATTATATACAGTTGATTTATCCTTCTGTCCAAAGACAGACTATATGGTGCAGTTTCTAGAGAGGAACTAATTAGTGAATGACGGCTCAATACATTATTTACTTTTAGTAATAATATTCGACAGTGATCTGAATCTCTTTGTGTAAATAGAGGTAACTGACAAAGTCTCTTCCTTCCGGAAGAGACTGAAACATCTTTAAAGCATTTTAAGTTCTTAATAAGGGAAAGGGCTCTTTTAAGAACAAAATAGTTCAAGTAGTTTTTTTCCTTAAGAAATGAAAACTCTTAAAGGATCTTGGCTGTGTTTTCGAATTTATCTTTTCTACTCCATAGGTGTCATACTCAGTTTTTCCAAAAACAAAAAGAATAGATATACAAACACTCTTGTATATTTAATTCATTTACTTAAATTTTGAATTTACTTATAAATGAGAAGGTGGTGGTTTTCATATTTAAGTTATTGAATAAAGGGTACAGATTTTTAAATTTAAAAAAAAAATAGTCTGTTCTAATGAAACGTATTCCATATTCACCTACTTTGGATAATCTTGCTATTTTTTATACTATCGATCTGATAGTATTTTTTATACTATCAATCATATATCTCTAATTTTGAATCTTCTTATCCTATGAAACCACGGCTTTTTAGAAAGCTTTTAAATACTGTTTTTCTTATGTTATCTGTGTTAAGTAGTCTGAGTTGAATTTTAGTAGTTTTTAGTTCTTTTACAATCAAAAATATTACTGGGAATTTTTAATTTTGCTCTTTCTCTCATGAAGACTAAACACTTTAAGGACATTTAGTTATTTTCTCCTACACTTATTATACTTATCTATAGAAATTTATAGGTCTACAAAATGCAATTAATACCTAAATGTTTATAATTAAATATGATGGTTTAAGTACTGAATATCTGTATAAAGTTAATTACAGATTTATGCTACATTAAGTAGATTTCTATAATTTCTCTGCTGTGGTAGTTGGAATTACCATGATAGAATTTTATGTTTTTATGGTTTTAAGTTGTCAAGGGTCAGTTTTTTTGTTGCATATTTGTGTTTTCTTTTAAACAAAAAAAATTGCTGTAACTGATTCAACCTCATTTCTTGGTATTTTTTCCCCTGTAGATTTTTTAAAAACAGAATTAATATGTAGAAGATTATGCTGGCTCTTCCCTTTTGCTCTTAACTATTTCTTATAAGCAATATCAAATCAGCTGTTATTACCAGGCAAGTTTCAGGATGTTGTTTGTGCACATCTGCATTCACCAACCTGTTCTTTGCACTGCCTAAGTTTACCTTTGTTTTCTAGACTTGAGGTTATCTTGCAAGTAATATTTGTTTTTTTCCTTTAGCTTATTCTTTTTTATTCCTTTTGCTTTTTTCACTCCACTACCCTTTGCTACTTTAGTTAGAGCTACTCACAGCTAAATTTTTTTCTACAAAGGTCTTCTAAAAACCTGGCTATCTTATTAAATTTTTCTGTTTTATCTAATTTCCTATATAAAGTTTATATCACTTAAGTTTTTTGTTTATTTATTTCTAAGAGGTTTCAAAAGTATTTGCTAAAAATGCGTCATATTGTCTTGCTTTAAGTAGTCACTTAAAGAATTGTTAGTTTTATTATGATGAGTGCAAATGATTAAGTCTTTAGATCACATTTTTTCTTGGAGTATTCAATAAGTTGGCAACTCCTGATATAGCATATTTTTCAGGAAATTTCATAATTAGAGTACATGGAAAGTGAATTTTCTATTTAAATCAGTATTACAACTGTATTAGAAACAGTATACAGTTTACAGATTTGACAAATCTTACATATAAATTTCAGTCTTGAACAACCTAGTGTCGGGGAATTCAAGTTAATAAATTAAAGCTTTGGATTTAGCCTTTTACATACTGACTACTTAAGATCGTAGGAATATCCATAAGGGAGACAGTGATAACAGTTGTAGTAGAAAAGACTCAAGCTACAGTAAATAATGGAATTTCTGTGTGCCATTCAAATATGAGTATTTCTTAAGTTTACTACGTATAGCAATCTATAGCAGAAAAAAAAGGCTTTTTTATGTCATTGTATAAATTAAGTCATAGACGCCTAGGGTGTTTATAAGACTTGTGAACCAGAATATTTTTGTCAAAATTTTAACAAGTATATTTTCCCTAAAATCTCACTATTCTGTCAGTCTTGTTGATTGACTTAACTTATATATTTTGGTGTAATTTTCATTTAATAACAGGGTTGTATAAACTCCAAGTTTTATTCTGTAACAGAGTATTAAGCTTGCTAATAACATGGCTGTTTTAAAACTAAATAGAGGAAGGAAAAACCCTTAATGATTAAAATAATTCTAATAGACATTTTAAAACTGCTTTTGAATGCTGTTTTTCCTCTTGTTTACTATAGAGTTTTTCCCACACACAAGTATTTATTCAAACAAATATGGATTTGTTATATTTAGCTAAAATAGCTGACATGTTATCTTCAGCAGATTCACAGCAATGTATGTTTTCACTTCTTCATGCTTGTCGCTTTTATCGTACCCTAAAACAAATCAACTCTAAAAAAGTTCTTTGGTGGAATTTGAGTTTTTTTGTCTGTTTTTGCTAATTTTAGTTGTAGACCAATGGAAGAAGATAATGAGATATTGAAGTATTTGAGTGGGGTGGGGCAGAGGTGGTGATTCTCTGAATGCTTTGTATGGATTATTTGAGACACTGTTTTGGAACTATATGTATGTATGTATTGGATTAGAATGCCTCCCCATTAGTACAGTTATCCTTTGCATGCAGAATCAGTGTGACAGAAGGTGCATGAATATTTTCATCAGTAAAACAGCACTGACCTTTCCAGCTTGCACTTTTGAGTAGTTCGCATGTAATTCATTCATTTGCTTTTAAGATGCTGGCTGAATAATTTTTATTAACGTTTTTATAAAGATGCAGTGATCTATTTTTTATAGCATTAGATTTTTAATGTCAGTTCATTGAAAGAATATCAGTTATCGAAAGAATAATAACCTTCAAATTTGTGATTCATAGAAATGAAGCACCATTTAACTGTCGTATTAAATGTTTAGAAATTTATGAGATGGGCATTTAGAGTTTGAGTTGTGAATACCAAAATTGAAACTGCACCTTTAAAATACTTTGAGTATATGCTGTTAGTACATCTTTATTATGACTATGTAAAGCTATAACAGTTTACTGCCAACAGCTTGTATTGCCAACTGCTGATTTTTTTCTTTTAATAATATGCTGCATGTAGATAAAGATGACCTCTCCCCAACTACTGAGGTTTGGGATGTAGACCAGGGACTAATAAGTAAACTGAAGGAACAGTACAAGAAGGAACGAAAGGGGAAGAAAGGGGTGAAGAGTAAGTGCAGATTCTCTTATAATTTTTGTATACCAATCTTTGAGAAAAAAAATTCTTCAGTTCTGTTTTTTTATGTACTTTTTTGCTTTATAAAGGGGGCAACTAACTTTAAACTTTGTCTGTTGTAAAATTGAAATTTATTTGACTATAACTTAGATCTGTTATTAATCAAGTAGAAAATCATTTTAAAATGTGGATAAGGATGAAGGAAAGGTTTCAAGGTTTCTTTTTTGAGGAGGGGTTGGTAAGCTTTAAAAAGTTTACCAAATTGTAAGAATTATTGGCCTTCGAATTAAAGATAATGGAAATTTGTTCAAAAGGGAGAAAATATAAATCTATTTTTGATACATAGAGTATTATAGCTATAACCAATTCATAGCCAGGTTAACATTTCTTAGTTTGGGAATCCTGAAATACAATGAATAGGAAAACCCTTTCCATAATTTTTGCTTTCTGGCCTAATCCAACCACAAACAGTAGCAGCAAAAAAAAAAAAAAAAAAAAAAAAAAAAATCCACCGGGACTTATTTTTTTGGCTG